CGATTTGTCGACGCCCGAGCTGAGGGAGGAGAAGATGAGGCTGACGGGCACGGGGCCGGGCGGGAGCGGAGGCGTGGAGAGAGGGCGGGTGAGGGAGGTCACGCTGCCTGAGGCGGGACATCTGTTCCCAATGGAGATCCCGGGGACGAGTGCCAAGTTGACGGCGGAGTGGATCGTCAAGGGGCTGGGAGAGTGGAGGAGGGAACAGGACGAGTACGAGAGGTGGGCAGCGCTGGGCGTAAAGGAGAAGACCACTCTCACGGAGGAATGGATGAAGAGGATTGGGCGGCCCGAACGGCCTCCTAAGGCGAAGATGTAAATGGTCACAATAGATGAGCCTTTTTTAGAGTTCTTTAGATGTAGAGTATGTATACAAGCGTGTGACTAGCTGTCTTTCTCTTCCTCCTCTTCCGGCGGGATCCATACCAGGAGGCCGTCCTTGTCGATCTTCATGCCCTCGGTGGGTATGATTCTGAGAACCTTTTGGAAGTACTTGTCCCTGACGACCAGGCTTGGCCGGATGAAGGCGCCTCTGACGAGCGGCAGGAGGCGATATGTCGCCGAGCGTCGCGACACGGGGAGGACGTGCATTGTGGTCTGCTTGGCGCCGGAGAAGGCGAACTCGTCGCTCGGCTCCATGCTCAGGCCAAACGTGAGGAAGTGGCTGGAGGCGTTCTCGATGGTGACGTTGAGGTTGACGAGTCCCGTCGCCGGGTTGGCGAGGGTGTATGAAGCCAGCACGCGCGGTTCTGTGCCGAGGACGATGTACCGCGGGACGAGCATCGTCGTGGTGTTGACGGTCGACGAGGTCGATGATGTGCGGCGCCATTTGAGAACAAACGCGAGGTCTAGCGAGGCCGGCCCCCGATCGTCAAGGCTGTACTTCTGGGCCACCAGGTTGAACTGGGCCTCTTGCATTTGTTTTGGTGCTATGCGGAGACCATCTGCGGCTATCTCTGGGCGGGAAATCGTTGTGCAGCGGGCATTGTTCTGGCAGGAGAGGACCTCCGCATCCATGCTGATGATTTCGAGGTCTTCGGAGGCAAAGGATGCAAAGTGGCACACCAGGCACCACTTTTGGGCCAGGCCTCGGGGCTGGATTGCGGCGTCGTCCGTGATGTTTGGATCCTGAACGCCTTCGTGGTCGAAGAGGGAGGGCCAGGGGTCGGGGTGGAGGCGGGGAATGAGGTCGTAGTTTGCTTCAAAAGGGTTGACCACGTTCAGTTGGACAGGCAGGATTTGCATAACCAGTGTTGCCGGATCGGTAACGAGATGGTAAAAGACTCTGAGGGTCACGTCATACGACGTCGTCAGCTGTATGGGATCGAGCGAGACCTTGACACGAGTTGATTGCGACGTTCCCAGCGTGCCGAGCGGTAGACCCGTAAGTTTGGCTTCTTCTTGGCCAGCTTCTGCCTTGTGTTCGTCTTGGTCGGCGGCCTGGACTCGGAAGGCCGGGATCTGCTCGCCAAAAACATGGACCTCGAGCTTAGCAACAGCCTCCTCGTCTTCTGCGTTGAAAACGTCGAGGAGAAGTTCCATCGGCTCGTTTGCGTAGAACTGGTCCAAGGGTTTCGCGAGCTTGATTTCCATTTTTGGTGGTCGAGGTTGTACTTGGATGATATGCGCGCTTTGGCGTACAATTCTTCTCCTCACGAGAGATGGGCTGAACCAAAAGTCCGCTGCGCCGAGATCTCGGAAATCGACGGTGTAGTCTAGGCGGAAGGCGTCCGTTTCCAGGAGTAAAGTAACAGAATCGGCTCGAGCCTCACCGGGTTCTCGTAGTGGGATTGCCATTTCATAGACGTTGGTAGAGCCAGGCACGATGGTAAGATTGGCAGATCCGCTGAGAACTGATGCCCCCTCTTCGTCTTCTCCAGCGCGAGCGGTTTCTTTCAATGGAACATTCGACAAGGAAACGGCGCCCTTCGCTGTGGCCGCGTCGGACTCAGCTGCGTGGTCTAGAGTGATGGTTTTCAGGCTGCCCTCAAAGTCGACTCGCAGCCCTTTCAGAGTGATGGGCGCTGCATCTGAGAAGGCATCCGACTTGATTGCCAGTTGAGCTTGACAAGTCTCGCCTGCCTTGCCGTCCTCGCCCTTGAAGATGAACGATGCGGAGATGAAGGATGATATGTCGTCGTTGATTGTCACCGTGGGCTTCGTCTCAATGGACAAACCCTCCAGCGATCTCGAAATGTCGTAATGCCACTTGGGGCGCCGCGTAAATCCTGCGACGAGTTAGATCGAGAAGGCCGACATAATTGAGCAACTTACTCTTGTTCATCAGCTCCCAGTCAATGGCAACCACGAGCTCTGCATTCCCAGTGTGCGCAGCGGCAGCCCGAAGCACCCAGCTGAGATCCTCTGCGATGTTCGTCCAGCCCTCTTCCCGGAACGACATGTCTTCCCAAAGCGGTCTGAGTATTGCGACAATGTCTTCCCACGCTTTGAGGTTCACCATCTCCTTTGCACACTCCAGCGACAGCTCTGCCGATATCCGGTGCTGCCTCCTTGCCTGGAACTGAGACCTTGCCGCCATCAAAAGATCAATGATGAGCTGGGAGTGGTTGACGCCCATTCCTTGGAGGGGAAACTCTTCATGGGGATCAGGACACATGTACGTGTCGTATGTAAAGGCTTTGCTGGCAACTGCTGATGCTGGAGTGGTGTCTGGTGAGCGGCGATCCGATTCAGGAATCGAGCGAGCCAGGCGGCGTCGAGCAGCGAGATGCTCTGCAGCAGTGCGGTACCAATATCCCGTATGATGCAGCATATCCCACGGTTGAAGCTTGTCCACCGCGGCGGCCTTTTCCGGCTGGAGGTACAAGGTTTTTGTGGACGGCGCGAGACTGCGTACATCTACCCGTTCAATCAAGTTTGCCATGACAACAGCCCACCTCGACTCCCATGCCTCCCAGCCGTAGTTGTTTGTCCCGCGCCCTCGGCGATCTACAAAGTCGGCTATCCTATCACGGTGCATTTGCCATCTCCGCACAGCAGACGTGGTTTGCGCGCCCCAGAGTACACAGCGTATGCCGCGTATCGCAATGGTGTCAGCGAGCATGCGAGCTTCGTTCCAGCGTGGGCTCCAACTTGGAATGATATCCATCACGTCCTGGCTCAAGAGCTCCTCATAGGCTTGATCGTACGAGCGCAGGGCCGCATCCATCTCTTGGCGGAACTCTGCAAAAATGCCCGTCTTGAAATCATACCTCACGTTCCAGTCCTGGACTGAGAGTGTTTGCGAGGTGCTCGTAGGGGGCACCGTGGGCTGTGGCGCTATTCCACGACCGCGCTTCTTCCGCGCGTGACGGCCAAGGTCTCTGTAGTATTCTAGGGCTTGCAGAAACACTGCGGCTAGCATGGAATCCGCCGTGTGCTCAAGATCGATGGACAGGTCGCCTGGTGATAGATAGAAAAACGTTTTCGTATCTAATGCGACACCCTTCCGAATGTTGTCCAGCCGGTCTTGAACGAGGTCTACCATGGAAGAAGAGGCCGTGCCGTCGGACAGAAGCACGACGGCGAGGCGCGTCCTATAGCCTGACTTACCGAGGGCGGCCTTCAAGTTGTTGATGTCGGTCTTTAGTTGGTTATCGTGGAGCGTCGCAAGCGTCGGGTCAGAAGTGAGGGTGTAGAAAGAAACGTAGACACTGGGCACCATGTCCTCGTGCTTTTGCAACCATTCGGTGTTCATAAGTCCGTCCGGGTACAGAGGCGAGACCGGAGTCAAGGGCGAGAAGGGCGAGTGTAAGACGGGAACGCCCTCGGGTGCCTCGATACCCTCAGGAAGCCTCGCTCGGCGTGGAGGAAGGACGAAGGACTGCCCAGGGTTAGTCTAGAGGACACATTTGAACGGTGTAAGCCGTACCCGACCAGCGACGGTGACCCGAAGCTTGTACGGCTTCCCGCTGTCTCTGCCGTTCCATGGCTGGTTCCTCCCGTCCTGGCGCACAATGTAGTCCCTCAGTGATTCGGCATCTGGAGTCTCGAGGCTCGGCAGCTCAGATCGCAGCAGAATCGCCTGGTCGCGGAGCTCGGCGCTCAGTGGCAGTTCTTTGGCCGGGGCCGAGGTCAGGCCGGCGAGAACGATGTGTGGGATGTTGTGGTCCAGGCTTCCAACCGGATATCCGTCCATTTTCCTGGTGGTTCTATGTCTTCATAGGAGGGGGCAGTCGAGATATGGATATCGAGGGGTACTTGGAGATCGTCGCGGAAGCTCTGGCGCGGGTCAGCAGCAGCTCTAGATGGTGCCTCGGTGCGGGATGTACAGTGACAGACTCAAGGGAGCATTGTCGCTGAGCCGAGATTTGGACGGTCAGAGTGGACGAACAAGACAAAGCAGAAAATTGGGTGCAAAAGAAAGCTTCCCCGTTCAGTTGCGAATCGCGGCATGGATCCTCTTCTGGTGGCACGGAAGGTAAAGGTAAGGTACTCTGTCACAGGTATCGCAGCTCCATTCCAGCGCCAGAGCCAGAATCAGCGATCCCGGCCCACTGTGCCCAGTGACTTCACAGCAGGCGGGACCCCTGGGAGAGCGCTGAGCCCAGGCGGGTGCCAACCGGGCCACACCACCACCTCGGGATCGGGAAAAATGGATGCCGACAGCGAGGTCGCTGATTGGCCACTGCCCCAGATGCGGTCATGGTGTATGGGCCCAGAGTGCCCTGAAGGAATGGGAAACTGGTTCTCGCAGCGCAGACAGCCAGCCTTGCCGCCCGCGTGGTTCTCCTCCCGCCTCGTCACAGAGACTGCGCGCAGAAATTGAGGGCTACCCGTCCTACACCTCTCCCACACCACACCACCACGTTGTTCAAGCACGTAAATGCCTCCCTTTCGACCGTCCTTCGATCCGAATCGCATCCCGACCGCATTCTACTGAGTATTTTACTCTCATTACTCCCAAACCCTCTCCAAAGACGAGCCCTCTCGTCCTCGCTGCCGACCGACCTCCGTGATCGCTCTGGGCTCATCACCAGGAGCAGACGCACAACGGCGCAATGGCGACACAACAGATCCTGTTCGCCGAGACCGTGGCCGCTATGAAAAAGGCCCTCAAACGCAAAGCTTACGGTACGCGACCGAACACACTCTGACGCCCTTCACTTGTCGACGTAACGTTCTGACGACTAGCCCCCAGAATCCGACTCTGACGACGAGATTGACCACTACGGGAACCGCGGCCACAAGCTTAAGAAGCGAGCCCTCTTCTCTCATCAAGGCCAGCTGGTGCCTCCCACTGGCCCCGAAGTCTACAGCGAGGTGCGTCGCGCCCCCCTTGGGCGGGCGAAGCGGTGCTGACAACCACAGGTGATCGACTACGCTGGGCAGCAGCGTACAATAATCAGTCGCAATCCCCCGATTGTCGACGACGAGGGCTACGAGATTGACAGCGACGACGACGAGGAGCGCATTCAAGAAGCTGTCGCTTCCGCCACAGAACTCGACCCCTATGCCAATATTCGCATCGAACGTTAGTATGCTCTGTCGACACCGTAGAGACTCCACTGACCCTGCCCAGAGATTCTCGCCCCATTGACCGCGTCGACCGACCTCCCGACCCATCCCACCCTCTCGAAACCATTCACCGCCAAGACCCTGAACGAGATTACCGACCAGGGCTGCGAAGTACGGCGCAAGGAGAACAGGTCGCTTTGGAAGGTCAAGCACCTCTACACAAGACTATGCGGCGACTTCACCTGGGTGCCGTGTGGCATGATGGTGGCGCCGGACGATGTGGAGCTCTACTCGTCCGAATACCTGGAGCGCGAGTATTTGCGCGGCATGAAAGTCCTTCCCGAAAAGTCAGAGGTCTCACCAGCGACACTGAACGGCGACGCGATCCCCGGACAAGCGCCGAACGGCACAAATGGGGAGCCCTCGGGCGACAAAGACAGCGGGGACGGGGACGTCACAATGACTGACGCCGCGTCAGACAAGCCGGAAGGCCGCAAACCACTGCCGGACAAATCCGCAAAGGATGGTGCCAAAGCGGAGGGCGACACATCGAAGCCTACCAACGGGGAATCATCAACCCCTGCAAAAGAGGGAGAGGAGGCCACTGTCGACAAGAAGCAGAAGCAAAAGGCTACCGACGTAGAGATGCGAAACGCAAGCGCAGCTCCTCCATCTCCCCACGGCACAGATCAGGCCGGCCGCAACGGCACAACTGCGCCGTCAATATTGTCAGACCAGATGGAAGAAACCTTTGTTCACCCATTCTTCCGGCCGCCTCCCAACGTCCGTCCAGACCGAGATGTGGGTCTACCGGACCCCGAAGCCGAGGATATCCGCCGGTTGCTCGCGCTGTACGTGCAGAAGCAGGAGGAAATCTGCCGTGGAACGACAAAGCTTCACGAAGGCCTTCTCAAGGCCAATCGCCTGCGCAAAACGGTGCTGGCATGGTCCAAGGCGGAGGCGCACAGCGGGCCGAACAGGGACATGTCGGACGGCGAGGACTGGTACGACAAGGAGGAATGGGGCTTGACCGAAGACCTCAAGAAGGGCCAGGACGACGAAGAGGAAGACACGGGCACAGTGGCCAAGAAGACTAGGAATCGCAGGTGAATTGTGCCCAGGCGTTGTTGTTGGCTTGCTCCGACGGGGTGGTTCTCTGTCGGATATTTTGAGGTTGCGGTTGATACCCATTGCGATTTAGCGACGGCGCTATGTCATATTAGACTCAACATTTGTTTCTTTGCTTGCCTTTGAAGACTTTGTGTGTGTGTCCTCTACCGGCCTTTCGGTATTTCCGCCCAGGCCTCTTTTCTCCGCGAGCTCGGGTGCATTGCCTTGAGGGAAACAACTGGGGCCTAGCTGTTCTGCCTTGCCCCCGTTTACAGCGTCCGGTAAGTATCGGCTACGGCGGGGAGGGGAGGTTGGCCGTACCCCATGCCTCCAAGGCCCCCAAAACCCCAGCGAAGAAAAGCAACCCCATGCACTTGTGCACTCACTACTGCGTAATGATGCGACGCTATGGCCAGGTGTCCCCGCCGACATAAATACTGGTGGAGCTGAGCTCTGTCACAAGCAAATGCGCACTCAGAACCTACAACTGTTCTCAACGGTTTTTCCCACGATTTTTGCTCAGCCAGAATTTGACCAGTTCAGCCATTTACCTCCAGGTTTTCCCCCGATTCAGATCCTAAACCATGGCGCCTGTCGACATTGAACCTAAGGCGGTGGTCGACTTTGACCAGAAGAGCTTGTTCAGTACGTCATGTCGTCTCAGTGGAGCTTGGGCCTCTGGAGCTCACATCTTCGTCGACTCTGCTGACCGCGCCGGATAGTCTCTGCTGCTGCTATTGCCTTCAATCCTCTGTTCTGGAAGTAAGTCGACTGTCCCTTGGTCTGCCGTAAAATTGTTGGCTGACAAGTGCATAGCATCGTCGCGAGACAAGGTTCGTTGCGCCGGCTCCGCCTCCGAGTGACCCCATCTAACCGAACCAGAGTACAACAACAAGCTCCTGACCAAGCTCTTTGGCGGACGCTCCCAGATTGCATGCTATGGTCTGGCAATCACGATCTTTTCGCTCGGAATCTTCCGTGATCTTCTCTACGAGCGGGCCTTGCGCTTCCAGCCCTCACACCCGTTGCTCGCGTCCGACGCAGTGACCTATGCCGGGTACGCCCTCGTCGCGTGCGGCAATGTGCTCGTTCTCTCCTCGACGTGGCAGCTGGGCATCACCGGCACGTTCCTCGGTGACTACTTTGGCATCCTGATGGACAGCATTGTGACTGGCTTCCCGTTCAACATCACCGACGCTCCCATGTACAACGGCTCCACCATGAGCTTCCTCGGCGCCGCCCTCATCTACGGCAAGCCCGCCGGCATTCTGTTGACCGTGTGGGTCTTCATCGTCTACAAGATTGCCCTGAGCTACGAAAACCCCTTCACGGCTGGCATCTACGCCAAGAGAGACCGCGAGCGTGCCGCCGGAAAGGAGACCAAGAAGATCAGGTAAATGCGTGAATAGAGGCCCGCAAAGCTTCAACAGCAACCCCCATAAATCTGCACCGTCGCTCTGGTTCGGGGCCGAACGTCAGGCCGGAGTGACATGGGTGTACGGAGACACGGAGACAGGGGCCCGCCCGGGAAAAACATAGACGAGATGGGTCCCGGTGAGCCCGGTCAGCCCGGTGAGCTGCTGACCGTCCCAATGTGCCGGCCGGAATCAAGTCAAGCCAAAAACGGCCCGCCAAGAACAAGAGATCAGCCTTCAACAGAGAGCGGCTGGTGAATAGCGTTCATAAAAGGACGAAGAACTTCGCTTCTAGTCAGGCCGAACCTAGAGGCCGACCCAGCAAATACAAGATTACTTGGCAAAAAAGAGGGCTGCGCGCCTTTCTTCACGCCACAAACCCGTACCACACTCTCTAGCCACTCTCATGCTGAATCTTGCAAGCCATGCCGTAATTGCAGTTTTTTTTTGCCATGCTGATTGCCTCTAGCATGTGCCATCTGCGTTCGCTATTCCGAACCCGGCGGCCGAGTCTCAGGCATTTCCGGTCCAGAAGCCATGCCCTGGCCACTAGTGGGCGGCCGTCTTTCTCGAAGGCAACTCGCTCACGGTCTCGCCCGACTTCACTCTAGCCAAGAAGGACCCTTGAGATTGATTGTCTGAACATGGAGAGCCAGTCACACTCCCCATCATTCCATGGCCCTGTTTCGGGGCGTCCCACTGGGCCGGACACGCTTCAACCGCGGCTTGCCTATGACGAGGGATATGTCTCAAACGGAGGAGGCCGGTTTCTCGCAACGGCCGCATTCGGCATGCCCTACCGTTGTGAAGGAAGTCGAGTTGTTTGAGGTGATGCTTTCAGCCGGCGAGTCCTTGACCTGACAAAACTACTTGGCCTCCAGTCCTTCCGCCTGGATCGGCCGGCTTTTGTCTCCCTTTCTTTTTTCCGTTTTGTCTCTTCCCTGATGTTGCCGAGGGGCATCTAACGCCGTACCCTCGCTGTCGCCCATGTTGACTGTGAGTCTTGCAGGATTAACACCTCGGGCCCTCTCGACGGAACTGATGCTCGACAGCTTCGAGAATCCGCACGTCTGATATCGTTGCTGCCCGGAATACGATGACGCCCGCCTGGCTAGAAGAGCCCCAGCATGGGAGCAACTCGCGCAGGAGCAGCGCGAACCCCTTCACAGCGGACTACACCATCGACCAGACCCTGCATGGGCTGTCACATACGGATCGTCGCCGCTCGAGTTCACACACTGACCGCCGCCGCTCGAGGCGGCTGACGATAGAGATTCCGCCAGATTTTGTCCGCCTCGATACCATTCCCGCAACACCGGGGCCGTCGGAGAGCACCTTCAAGCTCGACACGCCAATAGGCAAGGAGTCGAGGATAGACTTTGAGCCAGTGGCCCTCCTGTCGGGCCCCACGCTTCCTTTGCCAAGTCACTCCTACAACAAGAAGAGGCCGGGTTGGTTCAATCGAAGATGGAGTGACCTCGTCGTGTTTGGCAAGTTCGTTGGGCCAGGGTTCATGATTGCCGTCACATACAGTATGTTACTTGAAAGAATCACGGAACGCAGTCAAGCTTACAATCTGCAGTTGATCCCGGAAACTACGCAACCGACATCTCAGCCGGAGCATCCTACCACTTTGATCTCTTGTTCATCGTCCTCGTGAGCAACCTTATTGCCATCTTTCTCCAGAGTCTCGCCATCAAACTCGGCACCATCACCGGTCTTGACTTGGCCACCGCTAGCCGTGTGTTTCTCCCGAGATGGATGAACATTATTGTCTATGCCCTCGCGGAGATTGGCATCATCGCGACGGATATGGCGGTGGTCATCGGTACCGCCACCGCATTGCATCTCCTCATTCCCAAGCTACCGCTCCTCGCCTGCGTTATCCTGACGCTCCTGGACGTCGTATTTATCGTGATATTTTACCGCCCAGACGGCTCCATGCGTGGTCTGCGGCTTTTTGAGATTGGCGTCTGTTTCTTGGTCCTAGGCGTCGTCGTCTGCTTCTGCATTCAGCTCTCGCTCATTCAAAACACCACCGTCGGACAGGTCTTCCGCGGCTACCTTCCTTCTGGCTCCATCATCCAGACTCAGGGGTGAGAACTATCACACATATTACGCTCTTCCCTTACTGACATGGCCAGATTATACCAATCCTGCGGCATCCTCGGCGCAACAGTCATGCCGCACAGCTTACACCTAGGCTCCGGCGTCGTCCAGTCCCGCCTCAAGGACTTTGACATGAAAGAAGGCAACCTCCAGGAACTCCCCCGCTCCGACACGATGACGACCGTCGACAGCGCCCAAAAGGTCTTCTACTTCCCCTCCATGGCCGCGATCAAGCACTGCATGAAGTTCTCCATCGCCGAAATCACCTTCTCGCTCTTCACGTTCGCCCTGTTCGTCAACTCGGCCATCCTCATCGTGGCCGGCGCCTCCCTCTACCAGGGCCAGACGAGCCTCGCCTCGGACATCTTCGGCATGCACGACCTCCTCGCGAACAGCATCTCCTCCGCCGCGGGCGTCATCTTCGCCTTCGCGCTGCTGCTCTCGGGCGTCTCGGCGGGCCTGGTGTGCACCATCGCCGGCCAGCTCGTCAGCGAGGGCGCGCTCAACTGGCGCATGAAGCCCTGGCTGCGGCGCCTCGTCACGCGCGTCATCAGCGTCACGCCCGCGGCCGTGATCTGCGCCCTCGCCGGCCAGCAGGGGCTGAGCAACGCGCTGAACGGCACGCAGGTGGTGCTCGGCACGGTGCTGCCCGTCATCACGGCGCCGCTGATATACTTTACGAGCTTCAACAAGTACATGACGGTCGTCCCCGGCGCGGCGAGCTACGGCAGCGACACCGGCGTCGTGCCGGCGAGGAGGTTCAGCACCGTGGGCGTGAAGATGGCGAACTCGTGGTACGTCAGCGTCGTTGCGGTTGCGATTTGGTTCGTGATTACGGTGATGGTCGTGTCGAACCTGGTCATGCTGGGGTTGAATACCCAGAATTAGGGGTAGTAGGTGTACGATTAACGATGTTATGACTCGGGTCTTGGATGTAGGATTACGGTACATAGTATTCTACGGGCGATGACTGGGTATTGGTTGTAGATAATTCCAATGAGCGAGCTGCTGTTGTAACTCACGAAGGGGGACACTAGCTGTACCTGCAGGTGAAAATGGAATCCTGGTTAGATAAGTTTCGCCCTCCAGCAACGTTCATGCAAATGGAACGGAACCGAGACTTGTGCACATCACCCTTCGAGACATGTAAGGCCGCGAGAGCTGAGTGAGTCTATTATTGTCTTCAACGTTCTGCCTCGACTGCGGCTTGTGTCAGAAGGGTAAGGTTCGTTCCTTCAAGAGTACGGAACTGCCTTTTCCAGTGGTACCTCACAGCCTCAACGCTTCTTACACTTCAACAGAGAGAAAAGTACCGCGCATGAATCACCAAGTACCAGTACCCTCGGCAAATGAAAACGCCCTCTTTTCTTTTTCATAAACATCGTCAAAAGTCGTCTCATCAAGTCCTAGGCTTCACCCTTGGTATCTCTAAATGTTGAAAGCAAAGAATCAGAGTAGAGCATGTCTCAAGCCGACGCGTTCAGCTTCTCCTCAGCGGCATCGCTCCCGTACGTCGTGATAATCCAGTCGAGGAACGCGTCCCACAGCTTCTTCCACTCCTCGGTCACCGCCGCGCGCTCGTGCTTGTCCATGCAAGAGTGCTCCAGACTCCATTCGATGAGCTGCCTCCAGCCGTGCAGCGTCATGTCCGTCTTTCCCACCATGGCCTGGTAGAAGTCATGCGAGAGGCTCGATCTGTGGTGTTGTCAGCTGGGTGTCTTCTAAGCCCATTGCGAGACTAAATACCTGAATATTGTTCCGTTGTCCGAGTTCAAAGTGCAATGCACATTGTTCGCGAGGAGGTTGTACATGGCGTGCCCCGAGATCCTCGGCGTCAGGCCAAGCTCCTCGTTTGAGATCGGGCACACCTCGAGGCAGACCCCCCTCTTCTTCATGTGTTCCATAATGTAAGGATGTCTGGCCAAGGAGAACCCGTGGCCGATGCGCTTAGAGCCGAGCAAGAGCGCGTCCACGATGTTGCCGTCGGTATCATTACCAATATCGAGTGTCTCTCCGCAGTGGAAGAGGAAGGGGATGTCGATGTCTCCGCAGTCCTTTTTGAACTCGAGGAACTCGGGAATAAAGTCCTTGAGAGGCCGTCCCTTTGACTCTTCGCCAACCAAATCGAATCCTGCTTGGTCAGTATCGAGTGCTTGTCAACATAGGAAGTGCAGACTTACCGGCTACCCACTCAGGCCACATCTTTTTGAATTTCAGACACTCTGCCAGCGCGGCTTTAACCAGCGCATTACTCAAAGATCGAGGCGTGCAGTAGATGATCTTCATGCCGCCAAAATACTTATCATTGCCGGCCTGGAACTTGCGGTACTCATCAATGATGAGCTTCATGATGCCCTCGTTATCGATTTGCTCTGTGCCGTCGTCGGTCCACAGGTTGTTCGCCGCCATGAAATTTGGGCGAATCTCAGCATACTGAATTTTATCACGGACAAAGTCCTCGAGGAGGGCTTTGGTATATTTACGATAGGCCGTTTCGTAGTTGAACAGACCCTTCATCATCTGGGTGCGGGTATTGAACTTGTCCCATGCCCTGTTCACTCCTGTTAGCATCATCAACCCCACACAGAGGGGGGTGTAATTACCCCTGAACGGTTTGAAGATAGCCATGCGCTTCTTCTTCATGGAAAACCACTTTACTCTCGAGCCACTTCTGGGCATCGCGGCCATGAAGCCTTGGGAATTCACTGAGGAACTGAGAATACTTATACCACAGTCGGTTCTTGCTGTCCGGGCAGTCATATTCGGGGGAGAAAATATCGCCTGGTTTTTCTTTTGAGGGCGCAATGATGGAAAACTGGATTTTGCAGCGGTCGAGGGCGTCGTCCTTCTTTACACCATCATCCTCATCTTCAGCGGGCGGCGCCAAGGAAATATCGCTGCTTATGAACATGCGGTCCATGTCCTTGGCGTAGTTTAAGAGGACCGAGGGCTCTAGGCAAGCATTGAAATGAATATGGAGATGTGCTCCCTTTGGCATCGCGCATGCGACCTCGAACAACTTGGTCTTTTTGATCTGATCCAGGTTGGAAAGGAAGTGGTCGGCCGGGAATCGGGGGTGTTTCTGACCCCCCCACCCCAGCCTTGCGTCAGCCGCGTCATAAGTATCGCGCTGGTCGTCTGCCTTGAGCTTCTGGATGATGGCATTTGCGTCTCGCTCCTTGAGCGAGGCCTGGACGGTGGCTTTGAAGTCAAATGAGAGGGTAGCCTCGCGACGCTGGATTTCGTTTCTCTGGCGCATGTACTCGTCGACGTTCATCTCGGCAGCGGCGGCGGAGGAGACGGCTCTCGTCCTCGGGCGGGGCTGATCGAGGACGGTGGTCCGGCGACCCTTCTGGCCGTGGCCGACGTGGCCGTTGCCGGTGCCGTCGATGACTCTATCATGGGCATCAATCATTTCCTGGGCCATTCTCATGTCTGCTTGATGACTGGGCAGGATGTCGGGTGTGAGTGCGGATTGGTGGCGACGGCGGTGGTTGGAGAGTTTCTTCTGTAAACGTTTAGAGGAGTGTCGTGTGAGTGTGGTGCTGTCCCTTCTACCCTGAGCATCTTTTTCGCCAGGCGCATCGTCCTTTTCAATGTTTGAGCATAGGCTCCCCATTAATTTTGATGAAGGTCGAAAATAAACTTAATGAAAGCCCTTTATGAGGTCTTTTGAGCGAGCGGTATCAGTGCTGCGGTAACGATCACCAAAGCGCTTTGTCGCAATGAATGAAGCCTTTAATTGTCTCTGTGTCGCACATGGGCTACGGTCGCAGGGCAATGCCTTCAATTATCTCTTTTGGCTGTCCCCTGTCTTGACCCTCATGGCAAGTACAGCAAGTGGAAAAAGAGTGAGTCGCTAGTCTTGATGGTCAAAGAAACGGCGCAATGGAGTGAGTAGGGCAAGGCAGTGAATGAGGTGGAGGGAGAAAGGTACAGTGAATTGGAAAAGTACCTAACGAAAGAGAAATGAGTACACGTTGGAGAGGTCTGCAGCTGGTCAGCCAAGCTAGAGCGCGCGCCTTAAAATTGGCAGTAACTGAAGCCAACATCAGCCAACTGATGGAACTTCTGAGGCAACCGCAGCCCGGTCCAATGACTAGGTCCGGTTGTCTCTTCGCAATGCAGGTCAGGTAGAACCGTCGGCAGGCTCGTCGTTTGCAGGCCGTTCGGGGCTGGAAAGAGCTGCGGTGGGACTGAAAGTGAGTAGGCTGGGGAGCCGGCAGAAGGAGGGGCTACTGCCTGGTACTAAGCGCCTATTACCCCATGTGGTCTAGCGTCGATTACATAAATTAGGCGCAGCCATTGGGCTGATAGGAAGGCTTTTCTCATTCGCTCTGTCTTTCCCATGTCACAAGTGTCACTCGCCGGTAGGTAGGGCAAAGAGAGGGAGGGATTTCAATCGCTGGCCAATGCCAGTCATCATTTCTTTCTTGGCATTTCGTTGCATCGCCAAAGCGACACGTGACTATCTCATCTCATCTTCATCGGCAAACGGTTTTACGACTTGACGCTTTCGGCTTCATATCACAGCCGTTTGGAAGCCGTTTGGAGATGTAATAGGCTTTTTGTTTCAAATATCAGCAAACAACAAACCGCAAGACCCAAAACGGCGTCGCCGCTTTGCCAGCTCTCTCCCTGCCGTATGAGTCCTCAAAGGTCTCGTGTCATCCATGGCCACACTCACTCGCTTCCCTCACCCTGTCACTCATCGCCGCCATGCCATGACCACAACTCACAGGGCCCAGTCCGGAGACCAAGCCATCTGCCAGGGGCTTTCCACATGGCAGCCACAATGAGGCTCCGTACAAATACCCGGGGTACAGATGGTTCCCAGGGAACTGGAAACTCTTCAACGCACCCCTGCTAGGTCGTCTAGACCGATTCATCGGTTTTCAAGCGGTCTCATCGAACACACTACCAGGCAGCAAGGCTCATGGCCGCGCTAGAAGCATGGCTATTGGGTAGTTCCATCTCGCTACGGTCACAGCCACCGGACGGTCTTGACTTCATCAAACGCATCAGAGAGGCCGCATCGTATTTGACAAACGCGACCTCGCGACTTCTTGGTAGGTGACTGGAGTGAGAAAAACACCACTTGTATGCGCAGCCACAACACCAGGCTCATGATGGATTCCGCTAGCCAGTCTAGTTCATGAGGTCTGAGAGGTCTTTGCGTCATGCGGCCGCTTTCTGAGGAAGAAGTGAAAGAAGTGAGAATCAGTTATACGGAATCCTTCAGCAGGGCGCAGAGCACTGTCTCGCACCGGACTTCCACACGGTTGATCATGGACGCATTCATCGCCATGATCATAATGAACGGCCGTTGAAGGGAAGGCGAGAATCACAATTCCCACCAAGGATCGCCTTTTCGCAATTGAGATATCTCGAGAAACCACCGGTAGGGCATGACAGCCATCGCCTATCGATGAGCCACGAGCTAAGAGGGAGCTTTTGTGAGGTTTCCATCAGCCCTGCCCGCTGACCAGAATCGTCCATTTTGCGCCGCAGGGATGCAGCTACACCAAAGCATCAGTCCATGAATGGTTTCTACTTTACGTTTCTTCACAACAGGATGTTGTCTGTGATCATCAATGGATGTTGCACCGATTGAGAAGGCCATCCCATGTGAGTGCAGTTGCTAATGCTGAGAGATGCATCGGGTGGAAGTGTGACGCAGGGGTCACCGCGACCTTCCTTTTATCGAACATCGACAGCCGATTCCGCGCTCGGCGCTCGCGACCGCCGATACGACGGGGCGAAAATCCAACCATTTAATTCATGGACGATTCATCGCTGTGGCAGCAGACCCGGAGTTTCCGGTGTGGATCCAGCAAAAGGAGGGCATCAATAACACGAATGACTAGGAAGTCCGGGATTTCCGCCGCAGCGTACGTCAACCGAGTGGAAACCAACTCCTTCTCATCACCATGATGTACCATCCTACAGACAACATCCCTTCCAGAATGGGGTTCCATTCGGTCTGAACTTCGGCCCTTATTCGCCGCGGCGATCTTCAGCTCATCTATGCCCTGGTTCACGTCATGCTAGATTCCCGTCACCCCTGTGATCTCTATCTTCAGAATGGGACGAACAGCGGGCCGATGGCTACGAAACGGGACCGTTTTGGTGGGCAACGGAAGGCTTTGCATCAAGAAACATGTTAGTCAGCGGGGCCTTGGAAGGGAACAGACGCGGTCTCGACGTCCGCGACGGCCTTGAGCGTGGAAACAAGCAATATCTGCTGCCAGGGTTACACTCGACGGGCGCCTCCTTTCGTTATGGAGCTGGGAAGAAGCGGCTCGGACTCCGAGCGAATTGTGTATAGTCCGGCCACATCCCGTGGCAGTTGTCTTTTCCCCTTTATAAGCCCTCTCGTTCGCGGTTCGGGTGCTTGTGAGATTCTCAACCTCAGTCGTCGTCGATCCATTCTCTCGCTCAAAGTCTCTCGCTAACCGTTCGAACCCACCCGAGTCTGAGTCCAAATCGCCAACATGAAGTTCATCGCGACCCTCGCCGCTGGCCTCCCCCTCGTGGCGGCAGCTCCCCAGGGCCCCTTTGCCAAGGCCAACAGCACGTCCAAGGACCTCGTTCTTGACCAAGCCCCCAACACTTCTCAGCCCTACGTCCTCCGCAAGGGTGCCGGCCGCGCCGTCTCAGTTGGCGACCAGGTCTACCGCTTCTCCGTCACCGGCAATGCCTCCGCCGGCGCCTTCACTCTGATGCAGACCAACGCCCCCGGCTCGACCGAGCTGGGCGTTCTCCCTCACATCCACAAGGCGCACTACGAGAACTTCTACTGCTCCAAGGGCCAGTTCCAGCTCTGGGCCAAGACCAACTCGTCCGGAGAGCAGGCCCGCCTCCTGACCCCCGGCGACTACGGCGCGGTGCCCCACAACACCATCCACACGTTCCAGATCACCGACCCGGACACCCAGCTCACGGGCGTCATCCAGCCCGGCGGCTTCGAGGAGCTCTTCGTCGCCATCGCCAACTCCGAGTTCAACTCCTCCACCGGCTCCGAGTTCGTCCCCGCCACCTCCAACAGCTCCGCCGGCTCCAACCCCGACCTCATCTCCGCCCTCGAGGCCTTTGACGTCTACGCGCAGCTGGACTACAGCCCCCGCAGAGACCTGGTGAACGGCACCGCCGGCGGCGCGTCGACCTGGCACACCGCCGCCAACGAGCTGGCCGCCGACGCCGTCACGCCCAACTTCATCGCCAAGAACCGCGGCCCCAAGTACCTGAACGCCGACGGCGGCATCTACCACCTCATCGCCCCCTTCGCTACCGGCAACCAGACCGCCGGCAACTTCACCATGGGCACCGCTACCATCAGCCCCCTGCTCTCGAACCAGACCGCCACCGAGGCGAACCTGAAGCAGCCCGTCGCCTTCCAGCTCGAGGAGGGTGCCCTGGTCGTCGGCGTCGAGGGCTACGACCCCGTCACCCTGATCCAGGGCGACGTCGTCTTCGTCCCCGCCAGCACGCCCTTCACCTACTACGCCTCGGCCGCCTTCACCAAGTTCCTCTACGTCAGCGGCGGTGGTGACGGCTTCGACTACCAGCTTCTCCAGAACGCCATCCCCTGGGAGTACGCCACCTACCCCATCTACGCCGGTCTGACTGTCCAGTAGATGGGCGGTGAGGAGACAGACCGTGATCCTTCCCGAGATGTTGTTTTTCTACTTTCATGTACAAAGTTCATCTATTGTTGATACCCTCGGGATGAGCACCCGACAAGCCGCATGAGGCCCTTGGCTTGTTGCAAGGGTACCGTATGCATAGTCTAGATTCAATCCACATGAGGCCGTTTTCGTTGCGGTACCGTATATACACGATGGTCCCTGTTCCGTTCATAAGCTAGTGACACTGCCCCCTTGTAGACTCGTGATGTCTGTTCTGTGGTGCTTTGGGCGCTGGGGATCTCTGCAAAGGTTTCGTCGTTGACGCCTGGTTCGTGTTCAACTAGGATTTGCGATGATCGTGGACAAGCCAAGACCGTCACTGGTGAGCATCACGAACAACGCGGGTGCGTGTTGGGCTCCTGGATGACCCATCGAAAACCAAGGCTGACTGCTCTAGTTTAGTATTAACGGTATGCCTTGATCCGTTTAAACCCAGTGATCCTTGGAATTCCTTTTGAAGCTTGATCAGGATTCCATGAAATTGAACTTGGTCGGGCCTCGGGGCTCCAAGCAAGGCTGATCGATCGCACGAATCCATTCTCTCGAAACGAGGTTTCCCCTGATATACAGTTTCAAAACATCCGACACGAGCATGTCATGGATACGAAATATCCATCTGATAATTTCTCGGTGCTACAGATCGATCTTCCCATGTGCTGGTTGCCCTCCCCGCAACGGGGCCAGAAAAGGGGCTTGGGTGAGGCGCAGTACGAACCAAAAGGCCCTACTCATCAACTCAACTAAACTCAGTCCGTCTAGACCCCAGGCAGAAGCTCTTTCACCACCAAACAAAATTAAGGAAACGGCCCTGACATGGCATTTCGTTGTTCAAGCGACACAGTTGATTGACATCGCCACGGATGGTTTTGGTTTGTGGTGGTGTTGAGAACTGATCATCTCACCACAAGTAAGCCATGGGATTTACCTCGAATGCCACTCCGCGTGTTCTCTCCAGTTGACTGGAATAGTTGCAGTTCGTTTGAGTTGTTCGAGCCGGGCGATCGGAGACTTTCGACTTACTGAGTTTGACCTCGTGCCCGTCAGTTTCACCTAACGAACAGCCCAAACATCGAATGGCGGACTCCCTATTCCCCCTGAGGTTTCCCTACTTCGATATAAGCACACACATGGCCTAGCACAACATGCATGCCAGCGGCGCAGCCGTACATTTAAGCGCGACATGCAGGCTAGCATTCTGCTGTTCATGGTCGATTTGCGGTAGTCATAGGCAAAGTACAACCATTCACTTTACAAATGACAATGATGCCAGATAAGACAGCTAAGTTCAAGCTGAAATCAACAATATTGGTATTGCGGCGCGGTTACGAGCAGTTTCGAGAAAACCCTTAGGTTATCTACCTTATGTATCTGTAATCATGCCTTTGAATGCTCTATGAACATGAAAACTTTTGAGACGTATGGAGCACTAAGACAGTACGATGCTGGCGAACACACAATTCTTATGTGGTAATGTGGCAAGTAATAGCCATTTGATGGGTCACTGTACCTCTGTTGCTCACTGTGGAATAAGCACATAGGAAACTGTTTGCACATTAGCTGTCTAATACTGCTTCTTCGTAGCGCAACTCCCATGTCTCCGAACCAGGAGGCCCCAGACGTGAGCCGAGAAGATTTCCGGATCATTTTAGATATCCCGTAAGAAAGACGGCAAGAAAGATGCCCCAAACAATAGTCATGGTGGTCACATAAGGGAGAATTGAGTTATCCACACGTTTAGCAAGTAGCGTTCGCCCGGGCAGCAATTCCCTTTCAGATTAAAAGGCAAACTGGACATTTCGACGGCTTCACCTGAAATCTCATGTATGACGTGAGTAAGGCAGGAGCGAATCGGCAAGCTTTTTCTCAGGCCCATAAGGGGTTGGACGCCCTGCCAAATACCACAAGCAACCCCGCTGGTGCCGACTTCCAAATGAATTCATCCAGTAACGCAAAAGTTTTATCTCATAAATGGCCTCATAGTGTATCATAATATGGGGGGAAACATCTACGATGCCGAGAGGGCCTGGTGGGGTTGTTGATCAGAAGTTCGCGGTTTACGGGGTAAAGGGGTCGAGCATCATTAGTGCACGTGTGCAGCTACTTGGCGATCGCGCCTAGAACATTTACACGATTATCGTAAGCGAATGCTTCGTAGAACACTTAGAAGCGACGGGGTCACTTTGTTTGCAAAGTGGGTGTTGAAATTGGTGGTGGTGCGGGAGTGAGGAAGGCACGCTGGGGTTATTGGGCGTTAGTGTAAACAAACACATATTTCACGAAGGAACCGCAAAAGTTTTGTTCACCCATACGCACTTCGAGAAGAAGAAATCTACACTCAAGATGAATTGCCTCATCTCGTTTGCCCTTTCGCGGCTTCACCTGAGGTTGGGTTGTGGGGCCCAAGGGGTGAGGCATCACGAGACCAGGTCGAGTTGCTTCACCTTTGTCGGTCACCTCAGGCACCAGCTCCACCACAAGCGAGAAGAACGCAAAGCATACTCACCTCACAGCAGTAAACACACACACGGCCTCTATCAGGAATTCCAGAACCAAGCCTTTCGTCACCGGGCGAGGGACGCCTCGCCCGGTGGCACAATGGTATGAGGTCTAGGATCAAGGAGGGTAGTGTGAAGGATAAGGGTTCGAGCCTACTCGACGACAGGCAAAAATTACCGATCGACCGACCGATACCGAGCGAGAAAATTCCCAGCATGTGCACCAGAGATTAGCCCACACCGGTGGGTGAACTCTTTTGACCCTTAGCTTCTATTTTTTGTTCTGTATATTGATTGTTACTGTTCCTTCTCGTGCTTTAGCTTGTAAATTTACTTCTGTCCTGAAATATTCTGTGTTACAGTTGTTATGAGGCGTCAGGTGGTTCCTTCCGCTTGACTGATCACGTCTTGAATGACTAAATGTATGGATTGCCCCTGACCGGCTTGGGAGCGATACTAACTGATTGAGCGTCTCACGATGAAGGAACGACAGTCTTGAATAAAGTTCATCTCACATTGGATGTTGTCGCTCTTTGCAGACGACTGGCGCGACGATCCCTGGCGGAACTGACAAGTTCTCACCTGATCGCCCTGACAGAAAGTCACTGGAGGCACGATATAGACAACAATATCACGGAACATCGTCGCATGAAGCACATAGAGTACACGGCACATGACGTCCATACCCAAGTACGCAGCAGAAGTCTATATGGTATCTTACAGGGACGAGAAATCCAACGCTCGTAAATCCATCGTCTATCCGGCTCCATCAGTCCCTCATTTGCCTTACGTTTAGGTTTATCCTTTTATTCTGCATCCAACCTTTCCAGCCTTCATACTTGCCATCCTCTGAAGGCCAGTCGGCGAGGTAGTCCGGGCATGTCCCCTTGAGCACCTTGGGCACACCATGCCATGCAAAGCGCGAGTCCTTGGTCATGTAAATGGCATCGCCAGAGCGCAACCGCAGGAGCAGGTACTCCTTGCCAGTAGCCTTGGCTTCTTCCGAGATATTTTCTGGATCGTTTGGTGCAATCATAAAGAGCCCGTCGCAGCCAAAGCTGAGGCTGACCAGACCCTTGTCGACCTCTTCGCTGACGTCGCGGTGCATCATCATGGTGTCCCCCGGGGTGTAGAAGTTGACGATGGCGGCTTGTGCCAGCGTTTCGGGAAATAGGGCCTCAAGAAACTGAGCGATGTCGGAAGGGAACTGAGGTGGGAGCTCTTCTGGGTATATGCGGTTCGTCCAGTCGTACTGTCCGCCGAGAGTAACCCAGTGCAGGCGACGCTCCATCACCTGCTTGATGGATAGGGGCTTGTGGACCGAGGCATCTTTCGGAATAAACAGTGGCGTCTGATCTGGTGGATATGAGAAGAAAGATTCAGGAGACCCATCAGATGCTTTGGGATAAGGCATCTCGTAATGGAGGTGAAGGTTGGTCTGATGTGTTGGGACACTGAGATCACGGTTGATCATGAGAGAAAGGAGGGTCTTTTGAATTTCGGGAGGGACCAGATTCGGAACGACAATAAGACCTAAACTAATCAGCCAAGGAGAGTATCATCAATCACTTATACATACCTGGCAGAAGTGGGTGGTAGAGTAGTGGAACCTCTTGAAGGTTTGATGTGTCGACTGCGTTCGGACTTATGTGAGAAAAGGCGGCCTTGAGTTGATCGACTGAAATCTTTCCGGCGACGCAGAATTTCTCAGCTTGCTCTATTGATCTGGGATCATCAAGAGCGTCTCCGTTGATGAGGTCCTTCTGGTCTGCCCTCGAGTATCCCTTCCACTTTGCCCGCATCGCCTCGGAAGGCTGCTCATGAGCATCGAGCTCGACGATTTCGGCCGTCATGGTGGGTCGATGAATCAATGTGTTCGGGGTGGGAAATTGATACAAAAATCACCAGGATGGAGTGTCGTGTTATTGAGTCAGCATCTCCATCAGGAAATAAATATGAATGTTTGTTTTGCTGCTCTCTCCGGCCGTCGCATCGTACGTTGCCTCACTGAAACTGCGGGACAAACTTGGTTGAGTGAGTCGTCGGACCCCACCAACCATTGCAGCAGCGATCTTATCGATAACGCCCGCCCGTGCGATAAGGCTGCTATCGATAAGAATAGCGGGGGCAGGCAACCGGGGCACCCACGCCACGGGAGAACGCGACCCTGCTGTCAGAGGCCTTGGTTGGGTGAGATCAGATCGCGCCTTGTTTTTCTTCATTGCTAGTAAACAACGACAACGAAGTGCAATTTTAGCACCACAAAACATCGACCAATCCGCCCCCGACGACGCCCTTCCCGCCCGGCCCTGCGAACCTCGTCACCGACAAACACCTCTCGTCGACCGACCGATTCCCATGGAGATTTTTCTCTCGTAGCGGCTCCCCGTATCTCGACTTCCGGCTTGTGTGTCTTTTTTTTTCTGTTCCCTTTGCGTTGCCCCCCGTCGTCCCAAAACGGATCCTCTCTCACACAGCTCTGCCCCTCGTTCGGCCCAGACCCTGAGGTGACTTGCGGATCTCCACGACCAAAACCCCCCGCCACAAAACATCGCCCCCCGACTCTGACGACTGCCTCCGACGCCTCCTCGAGCGGTAAATACGAATTGCGTCAAGAATTGTTCTTTCGTTCCTTCTCAACTCTCTTTGATCACTGCTTCGATATACCCGCTGCACCGCCACCATGGAGAACTACCAGAAGCTCGAGAAGATCGGTGAAGGTAGGCCGCAATTCCAACCCTCGCCCTGGGACCGCTGCTCCTGCGCACAATGACGCAAGCATCGTCCATTGCATCCCGCAGCCCCAAGCTGACTCTCCTCTTTCTCTTCAGGTACCTACGGTGTCGTCTACAAGGCCCGGGACCTGCTCAATGGCGGGCGCATTGTGGCCCTGAAGAAGATTCGCCTGGAAGCCGAGGACGAGGGTGTTCCCTCCACCGCCATCCGCGAGATCTCCCTCCTCAAGGAGATGCGCGACCCCAACATCGTCCAGCTCTTCAACATCGTCCACGCCGACGGCCACAAGCTCTACCTCGTCTTCGAGTTCCTCGATCTTGACCTGAAGAAGTACATGGAGTCCCTGCCCGTCAGCGATGGTGGTCGCGGCAAGGCCCTTCCCGAGGGCAGCTCCGAGTCCCTTGCCCGTCTGGGTCTCAACCAGAACGTCATTCAGAAGTTCATGTGGCAGCTCTGCGACGGCGTCCGCTACTGCCACTCTCGACGCATCCTCCACCGCGACCTCAAGCCCCAGAACCTGTTGATCAGCAAAGACGGCGACCTGAAGCTGGCGGATTTCGGTCTCGCGCGCGCCTTCGGTGTCCCCCTGCGCACCTACACCCACGAGGTTGTCACGCTGTGGTACCGCGCCCCTGAGATCTTGCTCGGCGGTCGCCAGTACTCGACGGGCGTCGACATGTGGTCCGTCGGCTGCATATTTGCCGAGATGTGCACTCGCAAGCCTCTCTTCCCCGGTGACTCTGAGATTGACGAGATCTTCAAGATCTTCCGGTAAGTTTATCCTCTTTGAAAGAAGAAGCCTCGAATTTTTGTCTCGTACATTCGCTAACATGTCTTCCTCGTCGCAGCACGCTCGGAACCCCTACCGAGGATGTCTGGCCCGGTGTCACGTCGTACCCCGATTTCAAGAGCTCCTTCCCCAAGTGGATCCGAGATGAGTCCCAGCCTCTGTGCTCGAACCTCGACGCGGAGGGTCTCGAGCTCCTCGAGATGATGCTGGTGTACGACCCGGCCAGCCGCATCTCGGCAAAGGCCGCATGCAACCACCCGTACTTCGAGACCTACCCCGAGCAGCACTCGCGGACCGGCCGCACGAACGGATACTATGGTCACTAGGAGTACCCCATTATCCAGCAGCAGCGCCGGGCCCCCATTCAGGATCGGCACATGGCCTTCTTCTAATGGGATTGACCACGGCTCTCTGCATACATTGTTTATTCATGTGTTGCCCCTCTCAACCTTCTGTGGGGGCCGGCCTGGGAGACACACATAAGCACAGCAGACTCTTATCCAAACAAAAAGTACCATACTTGCTTTTCTGGATACTTGAGAGTTGGGGGATGTTTTGTTTTTGGGTCACTCGGGCGGTCAACAGCACCAGCAAAACAGACCTATCATCAGGTGTTGAGGAAGGGAGGCCGGGGCAACCGTTCGTTTCGACCATGCTGGTGAGAGCGCGACGGGAAGCGTTTGTGGCAGTGGCTGCAACGAGCAACGACAATACTAACGCGCACACCCCCTACCGAGATTGGCTGATGCCTCGTTGCATTAGAACACAGAACAGTTCACTCACAAGGCTCTTTCGTACCGTGTCCTGAAAGATGGATGAGTAACCTCGTCACCCCAGCACATTTGTAGCACGAGCGTCGCTCTTGTCCTCCCCAGCCATCCCTCCTCGCAGCGAGGCAGCCTGATACCTCCTCACCCAAGTCATGTCCCCCGTTCCACGCGAAAAAGAGATTCACCCACTTTCTTTCTCACTCTAATTTCTTTTGTCGTAAATCTTAATGTACGGAGTAAAGATGATGCATACGGTCGGTTTCGGTAGGACAGGTTAATGGAACAAAAAAGACACGTTTGGCATTCTGCCGTTTTTCCGCATTGAAGGCGTTCTTGTCTAATATCTCATTCTCACTTATGTGTGTTGTGTGAAGAGGATGAAATGATTGACTGTATCAGTACAACTCATTGATAACATCACAGGGCGAAGATCGTCTCCAGCATCGGAGATGCTTCATGACACCAGATGCTTCCAGGCCCTGCGCCTCGTCCACAAGATGCGCAACATGAGGCTTCTGGGCTCAACCTTGCGTCGCCTTGCAGCCGTTTTGCCGATTCATCTGCAACGCCACCTAGTCCGGTTGGAGGAACGTCTCTTCTTCTTGGTGGTTTTTGTGCCGAAGAGGACCGACCATGTTACGAGTTGCAAAACGTGGGAGAAGAGGGTTCGTAGTAGCCCAAGGGCCAAGGGAATCACACCACCCTTCGGCGATGAAGATCTATCAGGTGCTAGACTCCCCGACATGTGGAGGATGAAGATCAGGAGCATAAGCAGGAGGAGGTGGTGGAGGAGGAGGTGGTGGAGGAGGAGGATGGTTGTTCGGCTGGAGCAACTGCCGTGCCCGGTCCGGCGAAACGGTTTCCATTTCCGGGGGAATCACGCCAGGTACCGAGCATCAGATTTGATTTACATGACTCTGTTTTACTCTGGAGTGCGCGGCTTGAATTGTCAGCAGACAAGAGCAATGTCATCCAGGGCTCGCTGCGTGTGGGGGAAAATTGTATGTATGCCTAGAACGGTTGAGAAGAAGGCTTATCTGATCGGCTCATGGCCTCATCGTCGCTTGCTCATGTGGCCTGACGCGCCGCCCTGTTCACGGCACTGGCGCGGATGGCGAGTCGCCCGTCCCCCGGAGCCGTGATGCCCCGTTGGCTAGCACTGCCGAAACGTCTTTTCGATGCTGCATGCTTCGGCTTCTTGCATGCGTTTCTCTTACCTTTTTGTCATGTTGGTTGGGTGGTTTGGGGGCGGCCATTGGAATGGAGGTAGGGTGTGACTCGGAGAATGGCGACTGCATACGGATACCCTCACGTGAAATCTCAAATTGAATCTCACATCGCCCCACGGCCCCCAAAGCTGATGGGCAATTTCGATGGTATGGACTTCGGAAAGCCAGAGGTGCGAAGGGGCCAGCGACGGATGAGCTCGCATCCGCGAGAACGCCCATGAAACGGTTTAGTTTCCATCGTCATCTATTCACTCACACACAAAGATATCCTCCCCCACACCGTCGTCAGAATTTCAAAAGGTCCCCATCCCACCGGTTAGACGGGACGTCCAGAAGAAAAAAGAAGAAGGGTGATGGTTCCTGTGTGTGTGGGTTGTTGGTTGTGTTTTCCAAATAAACCGAAACATGGGGTACTTTGCGGTTCTTTGAGGTTTGCGTGGGGCCAGCATGTCACTTTTGTGTCTGCCTCATTGTTGTTCCTGCGCTGGTGCGGTGTAAGCAAGTCGGCCAGGCTGCGTTGCTATTCTTGGCATTAAGCCTATCCTCTGTCTCACACTCGGCAGTCGACTGGTCTACATTCTGTGTGTGTGGTTATGTCCTAACCCCGGTCGAGGAGAAGAAGGACCGGCCAGTTCGGGCGATTCGGCCTCGTGGGAGGGTTAGGATCGACGGGACGAACGGCATCCCGTAGGAAAGAAGGTAGACACACTCCGTGTCGGGGGATGGTCCGGCCCAATGGGGCTACCAGACAGTAAGGCATCCCCCAAAAAGGGCGTTTGTTCTTCTTTCCCTTAAACGGAGATGATTGTAGTTTCTCTCGGGCCGTCGCCGCATGGGTTTCTTGCGTTACTACCTGGACCGCACTGACACGCAAAAAGCACAATCGCGGGAACCAAATTGACATCCGCCGGGTTGCATTAGTTGCCATGGTAGGGCTGTTTGCGGACAGACTTGTTGGAGGAATGTTGTGCCTGGAGAATGGTTGGCTGGTTGGTTGGTTGGAGTAGGTAAGCAAACAAAACCACATACACACACGTACATGCTCAAATAGGGCATGGCACCAACATCAGAATAGGCCGGGAGGGGGGACTTTTGCACGACCCTGACTTACGTGGAAGGAAGACGAATAACGTGCGGCGAGGCGCGTGGAGAGAACCGTGGGAACCAACGACCTCTGGACAAACTGCCTAGCGCGCAGAGAGGAAGGGGAGGGGGGTCCAGCAAGCACCGTCAGTGTCGTCTTTGACGGGCGTGAGAAGTGTCACGTAATAGCGGGCATCAAGGCAGGTTCCGAAAATCGACGGGGCCTGTTCTGTCCCAGGCTTGTG